AGATCAATAATGTTCTTTAGATTATCATTAATCAATATCTTCAGAATCTTTAATTTATCTTTTGCTAGTTGTTTTAGTAGATAACGATATCAGTCATTTAGAGAATCAATAATATTTAATTTTTCTGACAGTTTGATGTCTTCTTTCATCATCTCAATAGCTTCACTTATAGTATTTACAGAAACAGATTTTGTGATAAGATCTTTATCAAAAATAACATCTCTAACAATCTCTAATTTGCATTCTTTTGAGTCTCATATACAGTATTAATGCAATTCTTGATAACTCATCAATCATTACTTTTTGCCATTTATTTTATTTGTGAGCTTATTTATTATTTTCAGATTCTTTTTATAAATTTTGCATTCTCGTCTGCAGATTCAATGAGCTGATGATTGAACCTCTGTTCAAACTTCAAAAGATGTCAATGAACTATCATCTTTGCACTCAAAAATCTTTGTTAATATAGAGAATATATTTATCAATATTATAGCTATTTATATTATTTTATCTTAAAGCTTTTTGACAAGTTCACTATCAAATAGTAGATTTCTTATCTTATTCACCACTAATCAGTTTATATATTCTGCAGAGTCATTTGATTGAGATGTATTTGAAGTTGTCATTTTATACACTATTCTCTTATTCTTGCAAAACATCTTGAGATCATCACTTTTGAACTTTTCACTATCATTCCAGTGCAGAGTTTCTATAGGTTATTGAGATGTTGTCTCAATCATGTCAATGAAGCTCATGAGTACTGATGTGATTTCTGCTTTTGTGATAATTAGAATAATTCATCTAAAGTAAATAATATCATTTGTAATTCTCATTCAGTATCTTGCATTTTCTTCAGTAGATAGATTTTCTTCATCACATAGTATTTTTCCCTCTTTTGCAAGGTTCACAAAAAATCTCATTGCTGATTTAACAGCTCTACTCATTGAGACAAAGAGTAAACAGATTATTTTTGCTTGCATATATATCTTGCAGAATGACAAAGTTCTTTAATCTATTATTCACATTTCTAGTCTAGAATCTGCAGTCATTCTTGATATATTCACTGAGTTTAATTGACTCAGCTTTTGATGTCATTATGCCATTATGTATTTCAAAGTCTTGATATTCCCTTTGAGCAGCTCTATTAGAGAATCATCATTTGATTGCAAGACACATACAGGTTTAAAATCATCATTTGATATTGCAAAATGAATCAAATCTCTTAATACTGATGATTTCTCTATCATATAGATATTCTTTTCATTCAAATGCACTGTAAAACCTGTCATTCTGTCAGAAGATATTATTAATATTGAATAATTATTGCCATATATCAATTTTTTGAAGGTATAACCTTTGTGTACAAGTTTTCTGAAACTCATTAGGTTGATCTTCAGCTTTGAGATGTAACAGATATCATTCAGTTCAATATCTGATTTCTCAGTTGAAATGCATACTCTCTCTACACCTGCTACTGATATTGTAGATCTATCTGCCATCTTCAACATGATATTCATTCTTTAAGACATAATCTCAACAATATCCTTCAGGAGTATAGTATGAGCTTCTGATTTAGAGTCTAGAATTCAGATATTCTCTATCACTGCACCACTGGAATAAATCATCTCTTTCGCAGAAAATACTTACTTTATAATATTATAAACTGAAGCAGTACTGTTTTTATTATTATTTTTATATTTATTCTTTCTTTTATGATCTATAAAGTATTTTTCTGAATATTTTATTTAATAGTTAGTTATAAGATGCTCTGTCTTCTGACAGTAATAGCATATTTTTTCATGTTGTTACTATTCTGCTTAAACTTCCTATCTTTGTCTTTGTCTTTAGTCTTCAAATTCTTATTCTTACTCTTATTTTTTTTTTCATAAATCTTGAGTATTATTTGCAGAATATCTTATATTTGTTAAGACAGTGTTCTGTCCAGCAGCTGATATATATAATCGAATATCTCAACACAGTCTCATGAAATCTATCTTAATATTGCAGGTGTTAGCATCTTTTTCAGTGTGGTTCATTCTATCTCTGATAAGTAATGCTCATTTAGCACTGACATCAGTTAACAAGCAGTTAAAAAGAGCAAAATCTTTAATCTTATATTTCAAATGAGTATATTTAATTGAAATAATGATCAAGTATTCTATAAAAGCTCTATTTGAGTTTTTTGCCTTAGCTGTTAAGCTAATCAATTTCTTAAAAAAACAGATATAGCAAACTGTAGACCTCTTTAAGAAGTTTTCTTTTATGATTATTTATAGAATATATGCTGACAACTGATGATCTGAGAGTATTTTAAAATGAGATCTTGCTTGCAGGAAGATTGAAGACAACATATGATTATAGAGTCATATATTTCTTTTAATCTAAAAATGTTGAATATTCATACTGATATTATTTTCTGAGGCAGATTGCTTCTCATTAAGAATATCATTGATTTCAAATTATTTAGCAGTCAGTATCATCTCTTTTCTTCATATTGAATAGTTTGCAGAATTAGTCAGAATGATAGATTTCTTAATATACTTCACTTAATCTCTAAACTTTAAATTCAGTCAATATCTTTATTATAACAATAGTTTTATCTTTTTTCTATAGATAGTTTGCAAGATCTTCACTCATTTCATTGTTGCTAGCATTGGTAATAAATACCTCTCTGCTAGCTCTCATCATTTCAACTTCTCACTGAAGTTTTACAATCTCTAATCTCATCAAGGTTTCTTCACTAACTCCTGACACCTGGCCACTAGAGTCAACTGTATTCTCTGACATTTCATCAATCAGGTCTTTATATGTATTAGTAGACTTGTCTGATTCCTCTAGAATTGTCTTGTCTATATCAAATGCTCTAGAGGCACTTCTACAGACTATAATAGATGTAGACAGTGAATCTACAGGCTCTGAAGTTTTATTCTCCAGAGTTCTATTCTCAGATCCTCAGTTTTATCTCCTTTTTAACATGTATTTTTTTGTCAAATCTGGCATTCTACCTAAATGTAGATTGACTATTGATGTCATTTAATTTGTTGTTCATATTTTTTGTTATTCATTTGTAGCTGTTCATTCACAGCTTCTCTTCATATTGTTTACAGTGAAAGACCTCTAATTCAAGAATCTCATAACCTTGTAGAGGACTATTATCAACTTTGTTATGTTGTGTGACTCTAAGTGAGCTAGCTACAACTAATAAATATATAGATGCATATAACCTCAGTTAGCTAGAAAATCCTCCAACAGAAAGTTATTAATATCAGATAAAAGTAAAAGAAAGATAAATTATATTTTATATAATCAAGAAAAAATTTCAAATAGTTTAAAACATATTAATTAAAATTATTAAATATTAAAAATTTGATTAATATACAGGGAAAAGAATTAAGAATTTAAATTTAAAAATTAAAAAATAAAGACTTTTAATCTACAATAAATATAATAAATATATCTAAATAATATTAAATAGTATCAATAGATTTAAGTGTCTATTCTATATAATTTCTATATATAATTTCTTGTGATTATTGTTTAATTTAAAATTTTATCAAATAGAATAGTAGAAGTGATTTATAAATAATATGATTCAATAGATGATTGATTATATTATCTTCTATAAAATCTTTTAAATACTATATTATTTTAAAGATAAAATTTTATAATTATATATTTTAAATTATATTTATTGATTAGATTTATAAAATAATTAAATTTTATTTTAATTAAATAAATATTATAATTTTTAACTTATATATTTAATAATAATAATAATAATAATAATAATAATAATAATAATAATAATAATAATTTTTAATAAATAATATATAAAAATAAAAAATAAATTATAAAAGTTAAATAAAAATATTTCACAGCTTAAAATTTAAAAAAAAAATCAATTTAATTTCAATAACAAATTTACTAATATTGAGAAGATCAAACAAGGTCTAAATAAAGCTGCTACCTTTGAAGACTAGAAGTCAAGCTAAGAAGTCAGACATTGAAGCAAAAACAAAGTGCAGCAGTCGTATGGGGAGCAGGCCTATCAGCATGTACAATAAAATGACAAGCCTACTAGAATTCATCGGATTGTTACCTTTTTTGATCAGGGAGTCAAAATTCCTACGGACGGCCACTAAATAGAGTGTCATCTTAATGCGCAGAAGCAGATTGAGTATTGATGATATCCACAGGCCATAACAGCTCTTTTAATGCTTCTTTATCCTCACGCTGCCCAGTATACACCAAATTGAGTAGTCATATCATAGGGCACACGGACACGGTAATAGTGTGACAATATTTTACAGCAATGCTAAGCTTTAGTTATCTACTAACACCGAATATTGTCTGGTTGAACGGCAAATATTCAAGCTTTCTCTCAGGATACTCATAGCGAAATAAGAATCTGCACAGCAACAAACTTCATATGTAACTAGTCAATGTAGCCAGTATGTAACAGGGAACCGTTATCCCCTCCCTCTTCTCTCAGGGCTCCTCTCCACCAACGTTGTTCCAACCCACCACCACTCGATCATCTAATCTAGTCCTAATGCAGCCAAGGGATCTCCAGAATGCCAGGGCCTTAAACTAGTGAGCAAAGACGGCAAAGATTGTGAAAATACAGGGTTGAGAGAATCACTATCAACGCCTCTTACGCTCGGACAGTAGATTTTATCATTCCTCGTTTAGAGTAATAGTGGATTTTTTGTGGCGTACGGAGAGAGTGCGAAGATACTGGAAAGATTTCCAATTTGGTTAAAAGAGTGGGTTGGTTTTTGTTCCCCTTCCCCCTCTTTGCCGCACAGCGCTGATGAGGTTATGGGTTGTCGGGGACAGGGACGGGGACGGGGACGGGGTAGTAATTAGAACCGCATGGGTGTAGGCGTAGAGCATACACTTCTTATCTGGGGAATATACAGGAATTTGCGGGGAGCCTTCTTTTCGAGCACGCTCGTCAGAATGGCAAATACGTTAACCCCTCATGTCTTATTTGTTTCTTATCCCGTGAGAATGAAGATAAGTGTAAGAGCGTATGAATGTATCAAAGGACGGAAGGTATCCAACATATGAAGTTCATACACGGTATCATTCGTGCATTCGTAATAACAACAAGGCGGTTTGACATTGTATATTGATATCCACAACTCGGGGAACCCGGGGACACCAGTATGACGGTTAAAATCCGATGGTTTTGTAAATTGACTGAAGATACTGGAAAGGTTGGCGTCTGGGATACGCAGGGCTGTTCGCTCTGTGCCGTATGTGTTGGATAAGTAGATACGATGTCTGTTGAGCAAGGTTAGCACAGCAGTGGGAGGGGTTGCCTCTCCTCCTTTGTGGCGGATGGCACCGGGCATGGCGGCAATATCAACAGCAGCAGGTACAGGCAAGAATGCAAAATCTGCTAATTAGGGATATCAGGAATGATTTGTGCATAAGATAATTCTAGGATTCGGAAGACCTTTTTGTTTAGTTCTGGGCCCAGGCTCAAGCCCTGGACTGCTCAGCTGCAGCCAGTTGTCAGATCAAGATCCGCATCAATCATGTGCCATGACAATCAGAGAAAAGTAAAGAAAGGAGCCCCAACATGGGCTTTGAGAAGGACGAATGGGAGGCGATTGAGATGATTTTTTTTTTTTTTTTTTTTTTTTTTTGCAGACGCCCGTTCAATCGCCGGGACATGGGGAAATATGATTGATAATTTTTTGAGATATTTCGCAATTCTTCGCTGACAATCATGATTGGCTGATCAACCCAGTCAGGTTTCGTCCCTCGAATGCAACATGTCAGTTTTTGCGTCTTTTCTTTTTTTCATGTTGGCGAAGTCACAGTTTTCCTGAGGAAACAAGAAAATCAGATCTTGCTCCACTCCGGTGCAAGAGAATGTGACCAAATCATGGTTCAGCCTGGCACATCTCACCACAAGAAGAAACAAACATCGATTGATCTGCAAATTTCCGAAAGAGGAACTTCTGAAGAGAAGCAAGATGAGGCCTGCTAAGCCAATGCAGCCTGGAATGAAAGAGCGTTTTTTCAAGACATCAACGCTCTGCCATTCAATTTAATAGTTGAAGATCATTGTCTTCTGCCGCACATGGTTCTCACCTGTGCACCAACGGCATCTGATCATTTAATGATTTTTTTTTCTTTTTTGCCTTTTTCCTTTTTCTTTTTCTTTTTCTTTTTTTTCTTTTTTTCTTTTTTTTTTTTGTTTTTTGTTTTTGTCTTCGCTCAACTGGTATTCGATTAACTGAAATGGGAAATTGCCAGGATCTGACTGCTGGGCATGACCGCAATGTGCATATAGAGGCCCCATTGTATGGTAACTATGCTTGCTGTGCATGCGGGGGAGCGCCCTGAGTCTCAATTGCGAAGCGGAATTGCCTTGCATGTCAAGCGTATCAAGCAGTAATCAAGAATCTGATTCATCACTCACTGGCGATGTAGGCGCCTCCACCAAATCATCCGCATCGCAGAATAAGACTCCTTGTCGCTGCCGTCCGCGGAATTTGACCTGCAGCTCAGCCGTGACGGAGCACGGTGTGGCTTGGACTGCCGAGGCTCGACTCCCGCGCAGTCCCCTGAAGGTCAGTCAGGGGACTCTCCATCCCGATCTGCCAAGGTCCCAAGGTTCCAACGTCTTTTACCTCGGTCCCTGAACCTTCGCCCACTCAGCAGTAGTTAGTAAGCAAGCCAGTAACTAACTAACTAACTAGTTATAGTTAGTTAACTAGTTAGTTAGTTAGTAAACTTTTGTAAGCAGGGCCCTGAACTCTTGGTCCGGGCCCTCCCGACATCAGTCACGTGAAGCCTATTAGCGTTCGGGAATCTCGAGCCGCGAGGGAAGGAATCCCCGAGCTGTGGCTGGGGCTATGTCTGGGGCTATGTCTGGGGCTATGTCGCATCTGATAAGGCGAAGGTTGAAACAGGAAACAAGCCAGCAAAAAAACAAAAGGAGGGAGGGGCCCCGAGGATATAACTAGTTATGGAATGCTCTTGTTAATAAGATGGGGGGTCCATTTGGGTCCATTTGGGTCCATTTGGGTCCATTTTGCCAGGAAAGCTTCCCCCTCCCCTCCCCCTCCCCCTCCCCTCTTCCTCGCTCTGTTGCTGAACTCTCTCTCTTGACCTCTGCGTCCTGCGGCTTTTACCTAGGTTTGCGTGAACGCGTGTACTTACTTACTTTACATACCCAAGGAATCAGGATAAGAGGACGAATAGTGACGCTAGTCTGTATTGATATTTCGGAAAACAAGGCACTGATCAAACGCAACTACTATTATTAATATCATACACGGTTCTTACATGTTCATAACATACCAGTGTAGGGGGGGTTCATGGAGAACTTGGCTATGTTACTCTGGCAGCAAGATCTGACTAGAAGAAAAACAAATTGCCCCTCTCCAAATCACCATCACATCGCTCCGTCCCTGGCCCAAGGGGGATTTGACTCCCTTTCTTGGGGCGAGCACGGAGTGCAAGGGTTTTCCCCATCATCGTTTCTCTTTCAAGGGTAGGAAGCCCCCCAGCATAACCGAAACTGAAGTCGAGGACGGCTAGTCACGCAAGTTGGAATAATGCATGGGGCATGATCTATAAATCCTTCTGAATTGTTTTGATCACCTTCCTTGTACAAGATGTTCATCCAAAGAAGGGGGGAATAATGAAACCGGCTAAATATTTCTGCTCTGCCTGCCTCACGAGTCAACGAGAGAGCTCCCTTTTCCGGTCTGCCACTGTACGAAGAGGAAGATGGGATTCAAAGGGGGAACCCCCGCCATCGGGACCTTCTAATTGTACTGTATCACGAATCCCAATACTAATAATAATAATAGCCGCCAATATAAGTGCATGTACCTAGGTACATACAAGTGCAGAGCATGTAACCCTCCTTCACTACTCCCTATATTTCACGGATTAAACAGCCCTATCTCCCCCTCTTTGCACCTGATGATAGACGCGGCTCCGAAATACACGACGTGCATTATCCCATGCATGTGTTGTGCATTACCCCTTTCTTCATCGAAAGTGGGTGGTAGTAGTAGTAGTAGTAGTAGTAGTAGTAGTAGTAGTAGTAGTAGTAGTAGTAGCAGTAGTAGTAGTAGTAGTAGTAGTAGTAGTAGTAGTAGTAGCAGTAGTAGTAGTAGTAGTAGTAGTAGTAGTAGTAGTAGTAGTAGTAGTAGTAGTAGTAGTAGTAGTAGTAGTAGTAGTAGTAGTAGTAGTAGTAGTAGTAGTAGTAGTAGTAGTAGTAGTAGGAGTAGGAGTAGGAGTAGGAGTAGGAGTAGTGACTCTAGTACCGCTTGAGAAAGAGGAGAGGGAGCATTCACTAAACAGCTCCCATTCCTCCTTGAACCTTGAAACGCTGAAGCTGGACCGTTGACACTTGGCGGATGTTGGTTTTTCTAGAAAGAGCCCGTGATGGGCAGGGCGCTAGGGCCGGGGACCACAATGCCGACCATAAAGCAACGTACACACACGAGGTAACGAGAAATAGACGCGAGGGGTATGGTTACGCTGCGAGCAGGCATTTTTGCGTGGGTTAGCTAGTATTATTATTAGTTAACTAGTTGGTTAGCCTAGCATATCAATTGCCAGTGGCTTTAAAACAAATCCTTGCAACGGCTGTTATTTCGAGACCCAAGGTTGAGCACCGGGATTTGTTTGACTTAGTTGAGACAAGCTTCCCAATTTCGAAAGCTGGGGTGACCTTGTCAGTCAGCATCGAGTTTGTTGAAAAGGGCTCAAGCTAAGAACGACTGAACCTCACAACGAAAAGCTCCGACAACAACCGCGCTGTTGCTACCTTTTTGTTCTAGAAAGTGGGTCGGAATCAGCCAGTCAGTGATTATGCCTGGATTAGCTAGCCTTATATCCGCGATAGCTATTGACAGGGGCGAGAGCATTTTGCTCTCCCATATATTTTCAGCGTGACGTCGAAGTGCAGGGGGGCAAATATATGTGTGATCACGTTAAAATGACTAGGCAATTTAACAGCCTCATTTAAATCTCTTAAGGGGGAGCTTCCCCGGTTTCCCTGGCACACATGACTGAAGATCTTTGAATGATGGAGGATGGTGATAGGAAGAGACGTTGGCCAACACAGAGATCATATATCTCTCTTGTCAGCATTACCTAGTTGCACTTCCTTTTACTACCTCCTCTAGGTGATAGGTAAGTAGACAGTGGAAATTTGCTGTTTCATCCTCATCACAAGGACCATTGTTTTCTTCTTGCCCATTTATTTCGTCCGCTACTCCTCGTGGGCAGGGCAGGTTCAACCTCCAGCCATAGCGCTGTTGCTGCGGAACAATGACCTGTCAGCCACGATCTATTATTATTAAGTTCCTCGTCAAATGTAACTGCCGAACTCCCAAGTGGCTGTGATGCAAAGCTGCATCAATAAGGATGAATCGATCCCAGGCCCAAGTGGCTGAATCAACCAACGCCAGGTTGCATTCTTACGACATGGGCCCCAAGCGCTAGGTCCCATGGCGCTTGCTGGAGCGCGATGAGCATTTAACGGCGGAGTAGCTGGTGAAGCACTTATTGAGGACTCGAATTTAACGCAGTTTAACAACACGGAAAAACTGTCAACCTTATTTCAAATCCCGAGAATCCCGAGCCATGCTTCTTGCTCGTACGTGATTCGTGATGTGTGGGCCAGGAGTACCAGTAGTTAACTACATTCGATAATCTGCAAGATCTATCTGCCTTGTTGTTTTTCACCGCTACTAGTCTTCTTCTTATCCAGTCGTTTCAGTATTATTTGGTAACTCGTGATTCGGTGCCTGAGATGCTGTTCAAGAGCATCAGTGCATGAGTGGTGGTGGTTGTGATGTTGTCATGGATTGATGGCTGTTGGGCAAGGGGCAGTGATCCCTTGTCGTCCGATATCACGCCATCACTCCACCGTACTCAACTCGCCCTCTGTACATCGACTGGTACGGAGTGCTACTATTACCAACTACCTGATTTGATACTGACACCGACGATTACGCCTCCAGACCGATCTTTAGAGCTGCCCAAGCAGCATTTCGAGAAAGTATTTTCACTCACTGATATGAAGAAACACTAACCTGCCAGTCGATGGAAAGGTGCAGGCAAGAAAAGCCTTCGCCACATCCCTAAGGACCAGCTATGTTTATTTTCACCTAATAATTATATCCACAATACGTTCCCTCTAATCGCCCAACACAAAAGACAATAAATACAACCAAAAAAATAAAAATAAAAATAACCAGCAGACGGACTAATTGAATGAATAATACCGAAAACTGGGATTCTCTACCCTGGTTTGCCTAAGGTACTTCGAATAACTCTATTAACATCACCCCATCCATATTTTACCTTTTTCAGGGATAAATAATGCTGGTGATCAGGAGGTGTGATATTTGAAACACGGCTCGGCTCGTTGGGGGGAAGGGAAGGTAAGTGAACGTTGGCTTTTAGGGTGATGGTCGTTGCTGTTAAGTGGTGATGATCGCTGATGATGGATGGGTGACCACAGATTCAGCAGTCATGTTCCTGGCTCAGATGTGATGTGGATGGATGTGGGTGGGCAGAATGGTTGGATGTCAGCGTTCCAATATATGAGGATGTCGTCTCTGAATTTAGGGGGATTTTTATATTTATCTCCTCTCTGGCTCTTCTGCTACGCTCCAACCCCACTCCTTTCTCTGCGATCCCATGAGAAACCCATCCAATCGGAAGTTGGGATTGCCCAGAATTTTAGTTTGTAGAGGCTAAAAAGTGCTAGATTTTCAAATATCTCCTATCAGACTTCAAGATGCAGCCCCGATTTTGTTTGCAAATAAAAAACCAAAAAAAAAAAAAAAGAAAAGAAAAGAAAAGAAAAGAAAAGAAAAGAGGGATAAGCCACTAAAAGGGATGCCTGACTAACTTCCAATTCCGGAGTGGTTAGGGGCTCTTAGGGGCTCTCATGCCCAGACGCTATCACGTCCCTTGGAAGGTTAGAAACGTTCTATTTTATCTAACTCCCATCTCTCTCCCTCTCTTTTACGGCCGTAGGCAATTCTTTGGTAGCAAAATCAAAGAGCAGAATTCATGCCAAAGGGTTTCGATGTTTGTTCGAACTCCCCATTTTTTTGGACGTAGAACATCCCGGGGGGGGGGATCATAAAGTAATAAAACAAGAAAAATTCACACCTGCTTTCTCCTCCCCCCCACCCCCCCAGTTGGTGCCACTGTGTCGGATGCCGCCATTGCCATGGATTACGGCGCCATTTTTGCGATAAGCAGGAGGCGTGGCTCTTCTGGCTCTTTTCTTGTCAGCACGGCGAACAGGCGAGATCCAGCGGTGGAGCGGGGGGAGGGAGTTGAGGTTGATCCTTGTGTGTGACTGGGATCGGAATATGCAGCTTACTTCAGTCGAGTGTTTTTTAGTTACTCATTGAACTGGGATTATTCGAGAATTAGATCCCACGTGGAATGTGGAATGTGATCGAGGAACGAGAAACGGACAATAATAATAATAAGAACAACAAAAACAACAACAATAACAATATTCTGCTTGCTTCAATTCAGGGGTGGATTTTTGGGACGTGGGGGGCGATTGATTTCATTCTGCAAGGGCGAAAAGGGCCAGAGTCCAGGTGCCAAAGGTGCAGACGAGAAAAGAAAAGTTTGGAAGTGGGCGTTAGTTAGATCTGTGATGTTCAAGGATTTGGCGGCGATCAGTGATGGGCAACCATTCTACCATGTGGACATACAAGATGTCACAAACGGACTAACTACAAGCATTTTGAGGCGGCGCTTGCAAAAGTTTGTCCTTCTTATTTTATTATATATTTTTAGTTTTTAAATTTTTAATTTTTAATTTATTTTAATTTTATTTTCAAATCTCCGCTGTTAATACCCTCCCAAACAGCGAGGGGCTTCGGAGATTTACTACTTGAATGCTCCGTCGTCGAGTGCCCCCAGCCTACAGGGCTTGATCTTAGCCAGCCCTGTCCTGAACAAAATGGCCATGTGACGCTGTTCATTGGCGGAGAGCCCAAGGAGGCTTTCATTTCATGGCTGCGGAGAATGCGACAGTGCGTTGTTAGAGAGTGTTAGGGGATGTTAGGAAGCGTTAACCCGGCATTTGGCTCTAGAGGGCGGCGAACTTTATTATTCACAAGTCTCTGTTCAAGCGCGCAGAATGGTTGGAGAGTCATTACTGAGAGCGGAGTTTCTTCTGTAATACTGTAATCGGGATTTCTTTGGTACCAATGGAGCACAGTTTGAGGTGGTTTGGAGATAAAAATAGTTATTGATATCAGATCATGTGTATGTCCTGTACCAAGGTACTTTCTCATTAGACATACCCCATATATGATGTATATGCTGCTGTATGATGTTGTATGATGTTTGACGTGTTATTTTCCATCATTAGTTAAGTTGGCGGCGATGAGGGGGTGTTTCACAAGTGCGATTCATTGATCTGTGGCGATGATTCATTATGATGTTTCTAAATGGCTTCCAGCCCTGTTAGCTACCTAGTCCCCAGCTGGATTCAAGTGTCGAATGTGGGGAAGCCATTTTTCTCCCGTATCTCCGCACTGCACAGCCAGGATAGGCGCGAGTCTGGGCTGGCGCATGACATCTGAACGTGAAGGATATTATCATTGCATATAGTAAATAATTAAATGTCCATGTTATCTTTTGACAGCACAGCATTGATGTAACACACATTCAAAGTGGTGAGAGGCCCCTATGTGATTCGACCCGCCTCCTATTGAATTGTCAAAAGAAAGGCCAAAAAGAAAAGAACAAACGCGGGGTTTGGCTCTGCTGTTTGAAATAAAGCACCTCGTCATGCAGGTTAGGGATCAAGTGACCCATCATGAAGCATCATTTAATTGGAAGCGGTGATGTTTATTCCTCAATGCACGGATGGCCGCCTACTCCTTGCTTTTGCCGTTCCTTACTACCCCTTAACCCCTACCACATCTAGCTTTTTTATGACTGGGGCTTCTTATGTGACAGTCCGCTGCCAGAAAATAACAATACCTGCTCCGTACTCCATACATTCAAAGGTGATTCGTAGGTGCATCCATTCAAGTACGGTTGAGGGGCTTTATTCATGCCGGTGAATTCGGGAACTGACCACACAGATAGAGAGTCGATAAGTAGATAGTTGATCATGCTCGACCGTACATACTAGATACTAGTGGACCATGATATCACGGATTGGTTTACGGCTCTGCCTGCGGGATTGGCCGATGGACTCTTTAACATGGAAACCGTTGCCAACCCGATTTGGTAAATCGAGTTAATAAGGGAGAAGAGATAAAGTTATATTTTATTTTATTTTATTTTATTTTATTTTCTCTCTTTTTGACGGGAATGGAATTGCGGAAATGAAGATAGAGTTTAAAATTGTCTCTGGAGGTCAGTCTGAATATAGATACACCCGCGGGCTACGGACTTCATTATATCCGAGTTCAGAGAAGTATGAGGAATGGTTTTGAACTTTGAACTTTCAAAGGCTTCAAGCTAGTGAAGGCTAAGGAAGAAGAAGGGGGAATTAAGAATAGAGCTGGCGGAAACAGCCACATGCAATTTTTTTATTTTTTTTTATCTTATTTTTTTTTGCTGCTCTCGCGGGGTTGCTCCTATTTTACCCCAGAGTGTTTTTTTCACTTTCCCAATTGACCTCTTTCCTCATGCTGACGAGGTGGTTCCTTTTGTACAGTTCGTAATATTCTTATTGTCCTCTGCTACAGTTTGTGTTGTATGATTTCAGTAGAGTGAGATGGCATCAAAGCAACCTGTTCCACTGGGTTTCGTCTCCCAATGTGGAAATAAATTTGAGTAATAAAAGTAAGAATACCCAGGCCCTATTTTAATTTATAGCCTTTAGGTACGGAATAATGCCAGTTTTGCACTGTCTTTTTGCCTTCTCATGTGAGGTTCCATTTCTCTTCAAAGCTGCCGGATTCTGACTTAATGAAAGTCAGATTTCTTTTGATAGTATTGTATTCCCCACATTTCCCCATATATACAGGACCTACAAAGGACACAGAAAAAGTACCACGCATGGACAACGTTATCTATTACTTAGAATAGCAAGGAATGTCTCTCGTGATGCCTGTATTGCGCGCATTGGATGTGTTACAGCTCTGGAGGTCATATACATAGGCAGGTGATCTGAAGTAGTATTGAAGTACCACGGAATGCACGTACCAAGAGAAACCCGACGGTATTACCTGTAAGGACGTTGTTATGATACAACACACTGACACAGGGGTACATTATATACGTACTCTAGCCAAGGGGGAACAAACCGGGATAAACCCTTCGTTTGTTACCCCCCTCTTTAGCGCCTGCCCTGTGAGGATTGCTGGGACCCGCCACAACAGGCTGGATCGTGGGTTTATTATTTCGCTTCCCCCACCGGCACCAACGGGCCACAAGAGCCGCGTAATAATGCCAGAATGCATTCTGTATACTGTAGCAACTTCCTAGTGTCAAACAAACGCCATTCCGGCTATCTGCATTTTATTATTGAAAAAAGAAATAGAATACATTGATACGGTATTTCTGTATATATGTATGTACATACAGTACAGTACAGTACTTTACATGTGATGTATCTTTACAGCTCCACTCCACCTCGGGGGTGCCACGAGCGTGATAACTGTGCCAAACTTTTCACCTAAAGTTTCCTAAAAGCGTACTCCGTACTTTAATATTAAACTCCCGTACAGTTGCGTTTTTTGATTTATGTAATAATAAGATAATCGTAATGTAAAGTACCGAGTATTTGGTACCAGCAGAACCCTTTCACGACAATAATAATAAGTCTGTCTCCCCTGCGGCTTGCCCAGCCTTCTTTTCTTTTTCCTGCTTTGCTCAATCTGCGGAACAGAAAAGCCAGGAGGTCCTCCCCTTCGCTGTTTCCCTATTAATCCCATGCCCTCCCATGCCCCGAGCCTTCCTCTGGCATGTTATTGTTTTTTCTATATTATATATATATATATATATATATATATATATAGAGAGAGAGAGAGAGAGAAAGAGCGCCCTGGGTCCTTTTGCAACCTCCACCGTATCCTGCATACCCCGTACACCAGAAAGCGCATCATCTCTCATGCCCCCATATCTCTCTTTCACATCTACACACTCTTCTTAACACTCTCACTCTCACCCTCACCGTTTCCCCATCCTAATTATATCCTACACCCCCCCCCCCCCCCCCCCCCCCCCCCCCCCCCCCCC